TGTGACTGCCGGTGCTGACATCGCCGCGGGAGCCCGCCAAAAGCTCCGGAAGCTCCAAGAGCACTTTGACCTCCCGACAGGCTTGGGGGTTGTTTTGCGGCGCTGCCACAACGGCCCTTTTTTCTCAGGATCCCATCTTGCATAGTTGGGAGGCCCCTCCAAACAGCAAAGCTGTTTTAAAAGCTACTTCGGCACTTGGTTGGCTTGCCACTCGCACAAAGACATGTAGCCCCCGTCAGATGGCTCATCGGGACCGTACTCTTCGACACTTGGTCCCTGGGGCAAGTCGCAGCTGAACAAGCGCGAGCTGCAAAAGTTGGACTTAGAGTTTGTCCGCCTTCGCGAGGCTTGGTTGAGATGCGAGGCTGACCCAAGTGTAAGTCCCACAAAAGTTAGTCGGCTGACCATTCAGCTTCGTTTGAATGTTTGATATGACTCCTTTTACTTTTCCTTCACAGGTACCATTGGCTGTTGGTTGGGTTGGGGATTGCTCTTCATGAGTTCGTATGCTTGTTTTGGGTCACCTCCTATGTTTCTTCAGAACTTGAGGCAGAAGGTTCTGATTCCAGTTTTTCTAGTTGACTGCCATTGGTTGTCGGCTGTGAAGTTGTCGGGGTTAAGTGATGTCCAAAGAACCGTTCTGAACCGTTCGGGAGGTTTGCACAGGTTGATCACAGAACCGTTCTGAACCGTTCGAGGGCCAGAGTCCCAAAAACCAGTGATAGTTCAGAACCGTTCTGAACCGTTCTGAACCGTTCGGGGCTTTGCGGTACCACTGAACCGTTCTGAACCGTTCAGTGGTGAGGCACATATGGCCCAAGGAACCGTTCTGAACCGTTCGGTGGTCAGATGCATACGGCCCAAAGAACCGTTCCACAGCACCATGCCTTCAATGATGATGTTATGTTTGTTACGTTCGTCTAACATAATGTTTATGTTTTATGTTACTCTTTCGTGTCTATATGTTGCGATTGTTTTGTTGGGTAGGGTCATGTTCCAGCTTCCAAACTTTCATAGTTTGTCACACGATTGGTCAGCTCAGGCAGCTTAGGGCTTAATGCCTGAACTGTGCAAGAGAACAAGGACAATGACTTGCACTTATGTGCAGCGCCATACTTCTGGCACTTCTGCTTATACAAAACTTACTTGTATGGTGAGACATGGCGCGGTGCTTTGGGCCATGGGGCTGTAGTTCTAAACATGCAGTCGTACATTTGGCTGGCATAAGATGGCGCAACTCAACTGACGCCCAAGGAAAGACAGGCAGAACCTCTTGATGCCTTCGTGGACGTGGCGCGCGCCTTGCATATGATGAAAAACAACTGATGGGTGGTGTAGCCAGTTGCGCCCTTGTGGCTGAAATCGTGAAGCTGTGCCGTTTGTGCGCCTCCCCAATGCCTATCCGCACTAGCTGGTTGCGCCAAGGCTCCACTACCAGCCTCATGGGCAGTTATCCTCAAGGGCGAGGGGCGGCGTTCACAACGCACATGAAGCTCTGGCACCTGAACTTGGAGTCATGGTGCCCAGCACAGGTGGGGAGTCGCCCGACCGGCCACTGTATTGCACCCGTTTTGAAGGACTTCAGCTTTGATTTTTTGGGGGGCTGAATGCTTATTTATGACTGTCGTTCGACGCACTTATCCCTCAAGTTTTCTTCTCCTTCCATTTCAGGTTTGTATGGTGGGTTTTTTGTTAGGAGATATGAGATAGCCTCGCAGATTGCAGACGCAGAAGTAGGTTGAGTGCTGGTCCTGAATTCATTGCGGCCTCCGAAGCACTTGTCTGGAAAGCAGCTTTTGCAATCTTTTCGCAATTGCTTTTGGAGTCTCCACACAGGAGGCTTGGAAAGGAGTTTGAATTTGAGGGCGGATTGAACTTACGGACTTGGAGTTGGGGAGAGTCCAAAAGAGGTTCTCTCATGGGGTTCTTTTCCTAAGCGTTTCCCTGTTTGCACACAACTTCTGTTTGCGATGCGGAGGACAGTTTTCAGCAAGTCATGGTTCGAAAGGAGGGTTTTGGGGTCCGTTGAACTTGCCGGCTTGGAGTTGGATCGAACCGCGTAATTGTGCAAATTTGGCTTTTGAGGAGAAGGGGAAAGGCCACCCCCAGTCCAGCAGATCTTTTGCAGGATGTTGCTTGCGGCGCGGCCAGGCGATTTTGGCTGGCCAGGGGTTCGCTCCTGAGGACTTCACCTGGACAGAGGACGATTACAGCTTCTACACAAAGCTTGCAGGCAGGATTGAGCTGGCCATCTTTATGCTTTTCGTGGTCCAAACAGCACAAAGCCATCCAAGCGTGGGCAGTGTACTTTCCCCCAACCCGTTTCTCAGAGTGCTGAAGTCGCAGGAAATTCAATGACCACTTCAGCGTTGGGAGCTTGCGTCGTTGCGCTCTTTGCCTATGCTCTTCCACTTGGCTGTGACGGGTGGCCGCGCGGCGGGAAAGTGCTGTTAGGGGATGTTTCGTTTCAACGGGGCAAACAGATCTTAACACGCAAGAGGTCAAGTGCCCGCAAGAATCTCAAAATCAACAGGTGTCCCAAGAGAATTGATGGACTTTTGTGCTTGCGCGGCCAAAAGTCCATCAATTATATTGCCCCATTTCGGTTACTCATCTCAATTACGTCAGGGGCTCCGTTTCTGGCACGTGTCAAAACCTTCGCTCATTAATGTTGCTTCGCCAAAAAACGTACCAAAAACGGAGCCCTTAACAAGGGGTTCAGGGTACGTGTCAAAACCTTCGCTCATATGATCAACGGCAACACCAAAAAAACGTACCAAAAACGGAGCCTCCGTTTCTGGTACGTGTCAAAAACTTCGCTCGCATGATGAATGGCAGTACCAAAAAGCGTGCCAAAAACGGAGCCCTTGTCAAGGGCTCCGTTTCTGGTACGTGTCAAAACCTTCGTTCATCAATGGCTTCGCCAAAAAACGTACCAAAAACGGAGCCCTTGTCAAGGGCTCCGTTTCTGGTACGTGTCAAAACCTTCGTTCATCAATGGCTTCGCCAAAAAAGTACCAAAAACGGAGCCCTTGTCAAGGGCTCCGTTTCTGGTACGTGTCAAAACCTTCGCTCATATGATCAATGGCAGCACCAAAAACCGTGCCAAAAACGGTTCCGTTTCTAGCACGTGTCGAAACCTTCGCTCATATGATGAATGGCAGCACCAACAAAAACGTACCAAAAACGGAGCCTTTGTCAAGGGCTCCGTTTTTGGCACGTGTCAAAATCTTTGCTCATATAATCAATGGCAGCGCCAAAAATATGCCTGTCAAGGGCTCCGTTTTTGGTACGCTTTGGGTGTCGCCGGGGTTTCCCCAAGACAGCAAACGATGGACGCCTTGTCCTGAAAGCTTGAGGGCAAGCTTGCTGGTGATCATTACACACAGACATGTGACACGTGTGGCTCGGCTGTTTGAGAATGCGTGCAAAAATGGGCAACTAAAACGGAGCCCTGTATCTTTTGAAAAATGAAATGGCTTTGTTTTGGTTGCGTGTCTCAATTGCATGAAGGGCTCCGTTTTTGGTACGTTCTCAAAACCCTTGATCACCATGTCCAGACATGTGTGACGACTCAGCTGTGTGAAAACCGTGCAAAAACTTGGGCACGTCGAACAACTGACCAAAATGGAGCCGTTATTTTCGGGTCCCCATCTGGCACCCTCGACAAGGGTGCCAGATTTTGCTGCGTTGCGTGGGCAAGTTTGCTGGTGATGCTGGGGGTGTTGCTGGTGATGCTGGTGATGCTGGGCGCGAGTGTAACTAAGACATAGCAAAGCTTAAGGAGTCTTTCCGCCGGACCGGCGCAAAAAGGTCTGAGGTATTTTTCCAGCCAAGCTTGATCCCAGATGGATGGTGAGCATTTTGGCATTACTCATCTGGCCCGACTTTTTCGGTGGAGGGAATGCTGCAGTCCTTGGTGGCGGGTTCCATTGCAGTTGGGCATGGTCAGCGTCGATGCGGGGTTTCCAGTTTGACGAAAAAGGCCGTCCCAAGTGTTTTCAAAGTTTGAGACCGTTTGCTTGAAGGCCTACAGGTTTTTCCCAGCTGTCACTTCTTACGGCTCCTGGTGTAAGGTTTGAGACTGGCGCGCTTGCCTTTGACAGATTGGTTGCATCCCTGGTGGGTTCCACCCTTCCACACAATGAAAGGAACAATTGGCCCGATCCAAAACTACCTGGCCGCTGAGGCCAGTCAAGCGCGCTGCGATGCCGTCAGCAACGCTGATCGATTCTGGCTCCGAGTCAGAATGGCATGAGCTCAGGCTCAATGGCTCAGATGCTGAGTCGACAGATAGCTCCAGGACTTTGCTGCTTGGTGAAGCGTGATGCGAGCTGGACTGCTTCTTTTTCGACACGGGCTGGCGATGTCTTGATGGCTCGCAAGGTCAGTAGGAGCTCGTGTTTGCTACTGGGCTTTTTCGTTTTGCACACGCCTGGCATCTGTTTTTGCTTGGCAGGAAAACTCACGCTAAATCCTTGTTTTCAGGGCCGAGGGCATTGACAGGTTTTTTTTTGACACAGCCAACGCTATAACTGCTTGTTCTTAGTTTTCGCACGCTTGCAAGCCAGCCCGGTGTGTTCGACTGCTTGGTGAAAGGTCTCTGGGGATATGGCCTGTCACCAGGTGGCTGCTAGGTTGGTCAAGCTGGCCTAGTCTGTAGACGATGCTTCTAGTGATGGAGATCTTGGCAACTTTGTTTTCACCCCCGCTTGCCTTGATGAGTGTTGGCTTGGCAAAGGATGATCGGTTTTTTCAAGTGAGCAGAGCGTGCAGATAAGGGCAGCTTGACAGGGGGAATGTTCTGAGTTGTAGGGGGGCGCACCTGTCCACTGTTGCTCCAATCCATTGGCGGCAAATTTGCGTTGACTGCGCGTGCGATTTGAGCTTGCCTGTCCAGTCATAGCACTGCCAGAAAACTAGCCAAGTTCACGCACTGCACGTGGTCGGCCCAGAAGTGAGTGCCCGGGAAGCAGCAACTAGCCGTTGCAGCAGTGCTCATGGACAACAGCGAGGAAGCCGAGGGTGCTTGCAGACTTTGTTCCCAGCAGTTTGGCGCAGATGACAGAGCGCTGCGGCTTTTGTTAGTACGCAAATTTTCTGTTTCTTGCACAGTCAAGCAAAACACAAGTGGCAGCCTGCGCTTTGCCAACAGCCGGCACTTGCCCGCTTCAGGATGCCCCTGCTGGAAGCTCTATGGAAGTCACCAAGGTGAAGCAGGGCTCTACCGTTTGCAGTGCCTGCTTCTATGTTTCGAGGGGCTCCTTCAGTGGCGTGAAGCAGCAAGAGCTTTTCACTGCACTTACCACCCACGCCACGGTGAGAGAAAAGCTTCTTGTTTGCAGCTGGATGCTTCCAGGTTGACGAAGAACTTTAACCCAGATAGTGCTTGGGATTTCTGCAGCCACACTTTGGTAGTCAGGCGTGTGGCGCCGTTGTGTTTTTCCCACTCTCCCCTGTGGCGCCTAAGGTTTGACAAATTGAGGAAAGAGAAAACCGCTGAGCGATGCGCTTTCCCTTCTCGAAAGCCGAAGCATGAGAAATGCGACATCAAACAGCTCATACGCCGCGCAGAAGAGGAGTACGTGGATTTCCAGGAGGCAGGCTGCCAAGTAGCAGTCTTTGCTGGCGATTGGACTGGTTTGCGCGTTGGCAGTGTTTGCCAGTTTGACGTAAGACTCAAGATATCTCAAGGCATAACTTTCCGCATGTGTGTCACGTGTTCTTTGCGCCTGCCCAAGTGGTTGTTGCCCTCGGTTCTTCGCAGATCAACGTCTTGGTCGGCCTGCGAGAGTTCTGCGCCAGCGAGCAGCACAATCCCAAGCAGCTAAAGTTTCGCTCGAACGCGGAGAGGAAGCGCTGGGTGCGGGATACATTGAAGCTAAAGCTGGTGAAAAACCCGGCTACAGGTGAGGAGTCGGTGCCGGTGCATGACAAAACGGTCATGCTTTCAGGCAACAGACGCAGCGCTGCTCGAGTGCGTGAGGAAAGCTGTGCTGATCGCCAGACTGCGAAGGAGGAGTTCAAGCAGGCCCGAGAGGGCATGCAGGTCAAAGTCAACTCCAAGGACTGCGTGGAGAAAGACGCAGGTTTGAACAGCCTTTTGTTGCGCGGGGTTGTCGGCCTTTATGTTTTGCTTTTGAGTAAGTGATTGAGCTTGGCATGTATAGATGCGTGGTGCGCTTGGCACATCGGTTCTGCCCCTTTCTTGCTGCCTTGAGTCACTTTCTCTTTACGGACCAGCCAGCGAGCTGTGCTGTGCCATTTTGCAGGAAGCAATGGAGGAGGCTGCTGCGGCTGCAGAAGGTGCATGCCCTTCCTCCGACTCAAGTGGCAGCGACAATGAGAGTGCTTCCTCAAAGTCTTCCTTCAAAGTCAAGTCCGCTTCCCGCCCGCCCAGCCCCCAGCCTGCCAAGCGCCGGCGCGGCCCTGGAGGCCCTAAGGCTGCCGCAAAACCTGCGAGCAAGAAGCAGTCGCCGGCAGCGCAGTCGGAGAAGACAAAGAAGGGTGCAAAGGCAGCGTCAGGCACACCAGACGTCATTGGCATTGGGCAGAAACACCTTGACAGCCTCGCAGAGCTTACCCCGCACGTGGTCTTCAAAAGCCTTGTCAGGAGTGCGGAGGTGGACCGAAGGCTTGGAAAGTCTGCTGCCATTTTGCGGGACTTGGGCAGCAAAATCCCAGAGGATCGCGCTGACCTTGTGCAGGAAGCAGAGTCCTTGACCCTACGAATTCAGACTGCGACTGACGAGATTGCTGCCACGAAGGAGGTCGCAAGGTTGGCCCGCCAGAGCTCTCCCAAGGAGCTGGCCGAGCAGGTCTGCTCCGGCAAGGAGCTTAAGGAGGCCATCAAGACATCTAGCGCCATGCTCTTGGCGGACCGCAATGTGACCCGTGACCTTGCGCAACAGATCGCAAAGAAGCTTGTCGATGAGGAGGCCCCTTGTTTGCATTTCGAGGCTTTTGAGTTTAGTACAAACCCGGAGATTGGCCGGGACGAGCGATGTAGTGATGTGGTGAAACTCAGCCAGGAAGGAACGGCAAGCTTTTGGCCAGGAAAGCGCACGTAGATCAAACAACCAAATTGTTTTTGGTTCTGCTGCATGCTTCCTGTTTCTCGCATCTCCCCACTTGTCAATCAGTCAGTCCAGTCAGTCTGTCAGTCAGTAGATCAGCCAGCTTGCTAGCCAAACCCAATCAGCGTGGGGGTGTGGTACCACGCATGTGAGCGAACGTATCTACAGCAAGCCGTGGCAGGAAGATAGCATGTTTGGCAGTTGTCCAAGCAGGGATAAGCCCAGGTCGAAACACCCTCGCTGCTTTTTGACTTCCTGAATTTGAAAGACTCGGGGCGGTGCTCCGTGAGCCTGGCCTGGCTTCTCGAGTGCTACCCCGTTGCAGAGGACAAGCCTGCGTTTGCCACTCAGCTCCTGCACGCCCAGGTGGCCGCTGTCGGGGAATGCGTCTTTGAGAAGCTTCGCCTGCCAAAGTCAATAGCTTTCGCCAAAGCAGTCCTGCCTGACAGTTTGCGCAGGGATGACTTTGAAGACGAAGCCAAGTGGTGACATAGTTGCGCATAGCAGGTGTTCAAGCGTTCTTCTTGCAGATCGCGCATTGTTTTAGCAAAGCCAACTCCAACCCGCTTTCCAACCTTGCTTACCTAAGGCTCCCTGATCCCAGCAAAGAGCCCGTGGACATTTCGAAGAAGCATGTGGAGGATGGCTTTTGCTTGAGCGTCGTTCGGGACTTGCAGAAGTTGCACGCTTGTTTGCTGGTGGCAGATGGCGCAGGCAAATTGGACACAAAGGTCAACGCCTACCTGTGCACCGTGGCCAAGGCTACTTTCAGCCAGTCGCTGACGCTCCCGACGGCAGCCCAGGCTGAGTGGAGGCAGGGGGGCCTGCCTTTTAAGGCTTGTGCGTTGATCTCTGATGAATGTTTTGCCTACCTTCCCCTTTGCTGGAGGTCTCTCTGGCAAAAGGTGCTTTCTGCTGGAAAGGCTGCTGCTGAGGCGAAGTTGTCTGTGAAAGATGTCGACAGCCTTGCAGCCCTCGTAGAGGCCGTGGCGCGCTACTCAGCCAGCGAGCTTGCTGATGCCACAGAGGAAAAGCTCCTTGCGCTCCAGACGCAGGCCAGCAAGCTTGTGCCCTTGGAAGAATTGGCGGCGCACCTTTCCACCAGGGGTATGGAGAAGGAGGCCGCCAAGCTCACTGCTGCTAGGGACCAGTTGAATGAGTGGGCAAGTGACATCTTGTGCCCAGAATTCAAGGAGAAACTCGGCCAGATCAAATCGTGGGCAGACGGCGTTCTTGTCGTCCCCAATTTGGAGGAGGCAACGTTCCAGACGCTTGCCGAGCACTTCGATCCTGCAGCGTTGGCGGCCGCAACTGCAGGGCTCCATGCCTCAGACCATTCCTTTGCCCTCAAGTGTGCCTTGGCTTTTTTGGTTTCTGTCTGGCCCTGCTAAGAACTCCGGATGTGTCAAAAATTGGCATCGGTCTTGGTGAACTTGTCCTTGCAGACAAAAGTTTACAAAAGCGTTGCGTTGTGCGACGTGATGTGCCGTGATGCGAGGCTTTATCCGCGGCAACGTTGTCCTTTCGAATGTCAGTGATGCACACAAGGCCCTCGCGGAGTGGTTGGCCTTGTCTCGCGACTGGCCACCCTCCTGGGTGGACAGCGCAAGCCTTGAAGAACTCCTGGCAAAAGCCGTGACATTCTGCACGGAAGGGCTGCTCCTTTTTGGAGAGGATGGGGACAAGCCGGTTGAGGCCAGCTCAGAACTCGAGCTTGTCTCCTTTGTATGGATGTCCGTGCGCGACATGCTGGCTAGGCTGCTGAAGATTTCCAAGGCCAAGGCCGTGGTGTCACTCGTGAGCGGCAGCATCACTGAGATGAAGTCGTGGATGCCGCGTGAGTGGCACGCGCTGCAGATGAGATGGGGGCCTGAGCTGGAGAAGTTGGACGCGTCAGGGGGCGAACTGAACTTCGTGTTCATTCGGTGCGTTTTGCAAGTCAGATAATTAAGCTTGTTACCCAACCAGCTGTTGCGTGTTTCACATGTGGCACTAGTGCCCTACAGTTGCACTTCTTTTTTTTTCGGGACGCTGCCAAGGAATTTCTTTGCCGAGAAGCTGGCAGTGTTCGAAGCTTCCAACTTTGCGATTAGTCCGGAGCTTGCTGCTGACCAGTCCCCATTTCTACAGGAACTTCAGAAGTCATGCAGCTCATACCGAGCAACTTTCATCAAGCACCTCGGTAGGGCCATTGATCTTGCTAAGGGCAACTTGGCCCCTGCCACGTCTTTCCTTGACAAGTACGGCGAGGTCTTGACTTGTTCAGAGTCGTGGCAAATGAAGCCGGTGGAGTGGGTGTTCAAAGAGGAGAACGAGCGCAACATCAGGTCTGACTTGAAGCAAGCCAGCGTTTGCAGACGCTCGCTTCTCGAAAGCCGCGGTCCCCTTCTGTCCCTCGCGCGCAAGACGGGCTGTGAACAGCTTCAAGTGGTGCAAAGCCAGGCCAAGGAGACATCAGACAAAATCAAAGAAGTTTGCCATCACGTCAGCAAGCTGGCCTTGGCAATGATCGTGGCGCATTGCTTGCTGGTGGGCACGGCAGGCGGGCTACAAGTGTTGGGGCGGGCGCAGAAGTGGGGAGCTGTTGCGGGAGTGAGTGGCAGCACAGAGTTCCATTCAGACATGGGCTTTCAGAACACATTTTTCCCTCGGCTTCACTTCGCTAGAACTTTCGAAAAGTTTTCGCCTTCAGGCAAGGAGGAGATTGACAGCATGTTCAAGTTTGTCACTGAGAGCTTCGACATCGGCAAGGACTCCTTGCCTTCAAAGATGCTCAAGCTGATCTCTGCCTTGGAGAAGCAGGGGCAGGACAGGTTTGGCTTTTTGCTCCTGCCGGAGTTTGTCGTAGTGCGGTTCGGTGTGAAAAGCATTGAGAGGGGCCGTTTAGGCTTGACATTCTGGAGAGACCACCGTGCAGCTTTTGCAATTTGGGGATGGGGGGAGAGGGGTGTTTTGGTTTTGTTTTTTGGGAATAGGGCTGTAATGTTGGAGGGGGTTGGCGGAAAAGCAATGTCTAAGGTGAAATTTTGGCCCCAAACCCCCAGCAAGGAATTTGGTTTTCCCAACCTCCCCCCTACGAAGGGTTCGCGTCCTGAGGACAAGAAGAAGGAGAAGAAACCTCACAAGGATGCACACCCTGTGAAAAGGGCAAGGAAGTCCAAGTGAGCAATGGCGGGGCTGTGTTGTGACCACGGATGGGTGTGGTGCAATTCCTAAGCCCATTGTTTTGATGGCAAGCTGTCCTCACGAGCAGTGTCTTGGGCAAGCTTGATTTTGTATGCAATGAAGCGTTATCAGCTGGAGCTCAGTGGAAAAGGCAGGGTCTTTGACATGGGCTGCGACGTGGGTTGCAACATGGGTTGTTACATCATCTTGGTGGTGGAAAGTGGCCGACACATAAAGAGGCCACAGTTTGGTCTAAATTATGACCAATAAACGCTACTTCTATCTTCCATGGTCAACAACCACAAATACATCTAAAAACACAAAGCCGCCAGGATCATTCGTTTAAAATGCCAGCCAGACTGTCAAGAGACAACACCAAATCCGGCCGTAAGATGCTGTCCCGTCTGAGACTCTCTACGGGGTCGCATGGCATTCGCGGCTCAGCGATCATCAAGCAGGCAACAGTCCCTGGGTGTCCGAGGACTTTGTGCCCCCGAGCACTTGGATGCGTGTTTTTGGGGCTACCCAAGGGAACGCCATGATGTTTACACATACCAGCAATGGTCCAACAGTAAAAGCAGCAGAGATCAGCACGGCAGCTGCAACAGCAATGGCAACAAAAGCCAGAGCTTTGCAAAGTCAGTGCAACAGCATTGTTTGTCATTGGCAGTGGCAGCATCCCCATGAGCAGTCATAGATCACATGAGATCACAATGCACATTAGGTGCTCTTCTCACTTGCCCAAAGGGCTTTGGAGTCATGCCAAAAATTGACCAATTAGGGGAAACTAAAAGGTCAAAGAGTCCATGGGCAACTGAGTCTTAGGCTCTTGCCAATGTTAGCCCTTGGCGCGCGGCGTAGCTGCAGCCTGGCGGTGCCGGAACCAGCTCCTGGCATCTCTTTCGCTGGGTGCGATGAATCAAAGGCCTGACGCCAGGGCGAAAGTAGATGAAGCTATTCTCTTCCTGCTCGTAAAGCGGATGATGTCCCAGAAGGTCCACGTACCTTCTGGGGATGGCTTTAGGGGGGTCAAAAGGGGTCTAAGTACGTCCGTAGAAGGTACTTGGATCCTCTGGGTATAGGATGCAGTTTGTTCCATCTGCCTTCGCGCTGTTAAGGTATGCTTCCAGCTGGTGCTTTGCGTCACCACTGGCACATGAACCACCCAACATCTTGATGCACGCGCGCAATTCGCGAACACGCGACTCCAGGCCCCGTCCTGAAAGCGATTGAAATCCACTGTCAGTGCTCCGTCGCTGCCGCCTGGCTGGAAGAATGGGTTCGGGCTTTACTTGGAGGGAAATCAATCAATATGTGCGGTTTTATTAGCACATTTTGGCACCCAAGCAATTAACTCCTAACTGTCTGCGCAACGCAGTTGAAAAGCCGTAAGTGGTCTTGACATGAGCGGCGCCAAGAATAAGGTACATAAAGCCCTCTACTACTAACAAACCGCTTTCGCGGAACCTTTCGCGATGCTTTCGCGGGCATGTGTTTTGTAATGATCACTTTCGCGGAGCTTTCGCGGGCAACACAGAAACTGCAAACTTGCACTTGCGCGACGCTTTCGCGGCGGGCTCTTCTTCTACCTCTTTCGACAAGCTTTCGCGGGCTTTCGCGCCCTGCGCTTTAGCTTTGGTGAGGCTTCGTTAGGAGAGCCCCTCAAATCACTCCTTTCACAAGGGTTTTTGGCGCTGCCCACATGAATTTGTCTGGCAACTGGCGTTGTAGCACGGGTCACTATCAGCTGACAACTTGTTACCGAGCAATACAATTGATAGCCAACAAATTGCCAGCAAATGACCAAAGGGCATCTACTTGACGCCCTCCGCCCTCCTGCCAGGCATGGCAGCACGGCAGCCGAATGATGACCTAACCGTATCCAACAAAAGCAATTTGCAATCGTCCCTTTGACTGGCGGCGGAACAAGATGTGTGAGGGCCTTTCGTATAAAAGCATGAGTAGTGACCTCGCGTGACATTGCTGTCGTGCTTTTTGCTGTGGTTTGATCTGCAAACCAACCAGCGCCCACCATGAATACGTGCCAGCCGTGCGCAGCACACACGGCGCGAAGGCGCAATCAAACGCGAAGTCCTTCAGCATGCGATTCAATGGTGGGTACGAGGGATCCAAATGAAACACGGCAACGTCAATCAACAAACGAAATTTTGGCATAGGAACAGTTCAGGTCGCCAAATCTCCGGAATTCAAAGGCCCAACTCTCCTTGAACCTCCTTAAACGCGGGTGAACGGATGTCCCGAATTCCAGTCTCAATTTCTAGCCGTGCCTTCGGAACCAAAAAGGATATCCCCGCAAAAAGGGAAGCCTCAAAACACCCAAGCGTTATCATGGTGTCTCAGGTGTCTTCCTTCGAGCAACTTCCAAAGCTTTACCCGAACCCCAAATCCTCCACCCTAAAAGGCCCTTAATCATCCATCCAACCAAACGCCACAGTTGTTGGGTGACTGTGGTCATTTGGCCATGGGTCAAAATCCAAATCGTACCCCCCAGTGAACATCCGATTCAATCCCCACGAAAATGGGTTCTAAAATGGGTGGTGAATTCACCTACCCCCAAAATGGGATCCCATTGGTTTTGACCCACAGCCATTTGGCAACCCTGTACCCCTGGTGAACATTAAAATGGGTGGCAAATGGATGTTCCACCCCAAAAATAGCTCGCCATAGGTTATGCCCCATGGTCATTTCCAAACTTCAGTCCTCTCTCGTCCGGTCCTCCGCCACGTGGGAATACGAGTGCCTGCCCTGTGTGCAGGCAGCGGTAATGGGCTCAAAGCCCTCCACCAGCACCACGACCTCTTCGGCGCCCTCTCACTTTCTGTAGTAGGGGAACCCTCCCCCAAAAAAGGTAAAACTACTGGGGGACCTAGTGGAGATAACAGATTCACCTTTTAACACATAGACTACACAAGAAACAAGTCTGAAAAGCAAGAAGATCAAAAAGGGGTGGTTTTTATTAGGCAAAGCGAGGTCTTCGCATCTTGGGGAATACTCCGGTGGCAACTAGTGCTTCTCGGAAAGCAATCACACACATCTCGAGTGCACCTGCCCAAAGGGAATCATTTCGTTTCGGGCGTGACCATTTTAAGGGAACACGGTGCCAGTTTCGACTGGGGGGTCGCCTGGAAAAAAAAGAAGCTGCCGTCTTCCTTTTGGGAATCCACTTTTGGATGGCTGTAAGGGGAGTCTCCCGTTAAAGCCATCCAAACGTGGATACCCAAAGGAAGACGGCAGCTTTTGCAGGAGACGCAAGGGATACAATTGTTGGGGTGCCCTGCTCTTCATGGCTCAAGCGTCCTTCCTTCTTTGCGGCATCCCATTGACCACAGGACAGTCCGGACTCGAACAATGGTGACGTGTTTGCGGGCGGTGTGCAAGCGAAAACCAACAGGACATGTTCAGAGGCGTACACTATCCACCCTTCAGCCATATTAAACTTTATTTGTTTTCTTTGTTTTTTTCTGGGGGGACCTTTCGAAGACCAGGACGCGCATCCCAAACTGGGGTACACCAAACAAGCGTGTTCTCGAACTCTGGCCCATGAGTCTACACACAACTTTGAGATGATTTTGGCAGACTGGAGAAGAAAGGGCGACCAGTCACCCGGCCACGGCCGGCCTCCACATGGCGCGACACGAGGTGGTCCTCAACTCATATCGGTTGTCCCGTGAGTGTGGGACCCTGCTTGTGTGCCAAGTATTGCCTGGAAGCTAGAAAGCGAGACACAGCGAGAGCGAGAGAGAGAGAAAGAAGACTGGTGTGAGTTTTTGTTGGAGCTTATAATATTGTTCAAGTCATGCTGGGATCTGTCCCCACTTCTGCGGCACATGTTGACCTCCTTTTCCATCTTTTTCACAATGTTGGACGTGTGGACAGAACCATGTTAACAAACTCATCTCGCCGGCTTGGCCAAGCTCGCACACCCGTCCTCAATCTCGGCCCTGGTCAGGCTCCAGTTTCTGCACGACACTGGCGAGGCGCCTCGGATGCGCGTGGGTTGAGGACAGAGCGCCCAAATCCCACGCCACACACAGGCCTGCTTTGTGGAAAATCAGGGTTTCGGGCCGCTTTCTGTGATCCCCCCCTTTAAAAAAAACAAACCAGCAAAGGGTACCACCGGCGCGGCTTCCCTTTAAACCCACGTCGGTACTACCCCCAAAAAGGACAATCGTTCTGAGCCCCAGGCCTGAAAGGTCGTTGCCTGTTCGCGCCAGCGAAGGCTGAAAGATGCAGGGCTTCGGCAACTGTTCTTTGAGCACCAGACCCGATATGAAGTCGCAGGGGAAAAACCACCAAAGGGACACCCAAAGTCAAAGGATGCTGCAAAAAACCATCCTTCAACCAAATATGGCCACGCATCCGGGCCATCCGGGCCTGGGAACTCCAACTGCTTCGCCTGCAATCCGAGGCCCAAAGGCGTGAATGCAAAACTCTCAGGCGGAAGCTTCTGCCGACCAGCTGTCAGCACTAAACATATTCCGTCCTTGTTGCGGCCTAGGCAACGTGTTTGTGGTATCAAACGTATGCTGCCCATCTCAGCTGTAACATGAGATGTGAGCTGCATGGATGCTGACCATTCATGCCGCAAAACAAACCAGTGTGCAAAATGCGCTGATGCAACCAGACATATACTTGGGCTGTTTGCGCATCTGTGGCAACAGCATGCAACAGCTTTCAACTGGGGATGAGCAAGTCATCCATATGCCAGTCTACGTCTCAAAGCATTCTCAGCATCTCCGAAAAAGAACCTTTGGCATCTCTATCTTCCCTAGGCCTTTGTCAAAAAGGCCTTCACACAAATCAAAGGCCTTTGTCATTCCACCCTCAATGAGGGTTGCTGGTGGGCTTCGGGCGAGGGGAGGGCTGAGTCCAAGTGTTCTTTGGGTCAGCATTGTCTTCGGATGGGCGTGGCCTTGCAACGGAGCAGCGCCCAAACCTCTTTCACCCTTGGTAGATGTCGGGACATCAGTGTGGGAAGCTTACGCCGAATGGGTCGCCAAAACACTGGCCTCAGGGCACAGCGGACTTGTTGCATCGATCTCGTGGATGATGAGGTTTGGCACCGCGAGGTGCAAATAGCCTGGGTGTTTTAGGTGAATAGTGTACGGAGCATATCGAAGCGCAACAGGAATATTGGCATTGAATAGCAAACTCGCCCGCTGGCCGTGGGAAAAAGGAGCATCCCCTGCCGTTGAACGTTGGTGAGCGGGGGACCATTGAAAAGGGCAGCACCGCGCACGACATCTAACTCTGGAATGGCCGTCACCGCGTTCTCGCGACTTCCCGGGTTCATTGGCAGCCCCGGTCCGTCACCACGGTCTCAAAAACAGGTCTCCCGGTCTGAGTCTTGGGCAGCCCGTGGCATCATCTGGCTGTATCAGGCGCATTCGCCGGTTCTCAAAGTGGGTGACAATACCTGGAGCTGGTGGGCTGGCGATGCACATGGCGGGGGTCTGGGAGGTGTGTCAACTGGCCCCGCCGCAAACTGGTGGACACGTTCAACTGAGTGCCCGCAAAACATGCGCACCCCCTGCTAGCTCACGCTCAAAAATGGCAAGATTGCACTCCTGAAGGTTGACTGTACGCAACCCCAGCTTCCCTTGCTTCATGGTCTGAGAACTGATTCACCGGTTCACCGCATTTTTCGACACCGGTCGTTGGATGCCGACTTGAAATCAAGTACATTCGCAATCATCGCAGTTGCACACGTGCGGCGTGCCCGAGCCAGAGGTGTCACGGCTTCCGACAGTAGATTCACCATGCACCACTCACTGATTGCAAGGCAACTGACAGTACCTGTCCAACCAACAACCTTGGAAATGCAAATCCTGTCTCGGAAATCACTGTCTCTTGGACATTGAGCTTGTGATCATCCACAATTGGGATGATAACATGTTGCAATCTATATGTCGGAAGCACACCTGACACCCGATTCCTGCGACCTACATAGCTGCAATCCTTGCAACCGACTCGCCGGTTTCACGTGCTTCATTGTTCTAATATTCTAAACTGAAGCTTCCTTGCGATACCTGCGCATGTAGAGAAACAATTTCTTTTGAGTGGACCCAATTTGTGAGTTTCATGCTGCAGGGAAGAAGGTGAGAAACCGACTCGGCCTGCATGAGCTGAATTGTTCCGTCTGACGCTCTGTGACATGATCTTCTCCAGCTGATCTCCGAGCATCCGTCGAGAACACTGATGGTTCACCGGGTTTTGCGCCGGGCCGATTTTAGACCACCGCTTTCCTAAGACGCCTGGCGAATGCCATATTCCACATGCCTTGCATTCCGTCACGGACTGCATGCATCAACCACCATCACCATGCTTCCCCGCTACACCGCGAGAGCTGTGCATTCTTCTAGGTCGTTGGTCAATTAAAGGGCAAGCAGCATCACGTACTGTGCCATGAACCTGTCCAGTATTGATATTTGCCACCCTTTTTGTTGGTCCTGGTGTTTGACAAATTCAGTTCGCGTATGGCGTCGGGAATGTGTCTTCGAACTGCTGCAATCGCAGGAAGCCGATGTCCGACCTGGTCTGATGTGTCAGGTCGGACCCACAAACGGGACTCTGCCAACCACCCTCCCCGACATGGGGCGTTGGTCCTTGAAGAGACGAAGAGAAAGGAACCCAACCAAGTTTCGACTGTGACTTCAAGGGGCTTAGAGCAACCCAGGCATTCACATGTGAATGTCCTGTGATTCAGGACGACGGAATAAGAACGTGCATCAAAACCAAAGGCAGTTCCAAGTCTGGGTGCTTGAACCTGTCTTTCCCAACCCAAATCTTGATCTGCAAGGACACCCGGAAGGACACCATCGCATTGACATGCCAAGAGTTCACCCATGTCCCAAGAGGAACTTTTAAGGAGCCCTGCAGCCATGGGTGAGTCAAATTTGCATACTTCCCATGGGAATGACCAGAAACCAACATGACTTGGAAATAGCAGGCTTTTTTGGGGGGGAACCCTGTAAATCCCCATGGCTTGTCGGTTTTCTTGTCAAGTTGTATGGCATCCACCTTGCCAACTCACCCAAATTTGCAACGCCCAACCGAGCGCCAGGCACCACCACACGAAGCATCACCTTCCGCTCCTGGCCGTAGCTGGCGGAGACCAGCTCCTGGCCGGAGCGAGCGCCCTCTCTAGGACTCGGGAGCTTCTGGGATGGTCTTTTGACTCGGTTGCGAAATCTGCGAAGCCCTGCTAAAAGTGACTAAGTTTCCAAGGTTTGATGGAAAACCCACTAGAATGCCAAAAAGTTGAAATCCTAACATCCAAGCAAAACGCACCAAAGTTCTCCCGAACGTCAGGTTCCATGTTAGTTGGTGGGAGGGTAAAATAGAACTGGAGCCCTTCCTGCCAGGCAAGCGGGCGTTCAGTCAATCCTTGAAGCGGCCCATCGTCAAGGCTTCGTGGGAGCCCAGAAGCGCACCGCCAGCAACCAGCTCCTGTGCATGGAACAGCCCTGGGTCTCGTGAGTCTCGTGCCCAAACACACTCGCTTGGGACAGCTCAAATCGGCCAAAAAGCAACATGGGTTGGGCTTGTGGTGGTCGGGGGGTCCAAGGAACCAATCAATGGTGAAGTCCTGCGCGGGATTTTCCAGGACTGTCAACCACGAAGAGGTCTGAGGGTCGAACATGTCCACTCGCACCTCGAGCCAGGGCAGTACGGAGTCGGGTGCAAGCAACAGACATCAAGTGGCCGCTGTCAAGACTCTGAGCTCTTTTGCAGTGCATGTTCTTATCATCATGGTTTCAGTTGGCTTCAAAGACCCCCCGCCCGGCATACCCCATTTGAACAATTTGGGGGTTCCTTGGAGTATGTATCCTTGGTCCTAACTAGCGAAACACTCGACTCGATGGTTGCAAAAGAAGCCCCAAGACTTCCGCAGCTTCACCAAAGGCCCCGATGGTAGGCAACGCATATGAGAACAAATGGCCGTTGTTTACGTGTATGATCCCTAATAGTTGTTAAATCCAAATGAGGAGTTTCGCTCTTGTTTCCCGCCGAGGTGCTGCGCACACATAGCCTCGGCTTTTTTGCACACGGCTTTGGGCACTGGAAGTTCCAAGCCAAAGTCTAGGCCTTCAGCAAAGAAACAGAAATCAGTCGAACTTCAAAGAGTTTGTCCAGTGAAATGGCTGTGGGTCAAAAATAGGTATCCAAAAAAAAGGCTTGCCCTGCTATGGAAACATAGACTAAAACCTGCGGTCCCCTTTTTTTGAATTTTAACCCATACCCAAATTGGAAGACAGGCAATCTTTGTCTCACAACACCAATGCGCTATGCCCGTGTTTCACACGCCTGCGTACCTGGGTCCTGGACGCCTGGGTGTGACTACATTAGGCCGAGCAGCTGGACAGCCGATTGGCCGCATTCCCAAGCGTGACCCTCGTCTCACAAAGGCCGAAGAACACGCCGACGTACTCCGGCCAGAACTGGAGGACATGGGGTATGCCGACCATGGGTTGAGAAGAGAATCATGGTGGGTTCGCAAGCGATACTTAGCCGTGTTGCCGTGTTGTGGTTGCCCCGCATGGTTCCCCATCTTTCCAAGGAAGCTCATTACCCCTCAACAATCCCAACTTGCAAGCGCATGCCCCACAAATACGCCGTCTGCGATAGCGGAGCCATTGCCCCCGCAACCTTTTGGTCAGAACCCAAGCCAGTGGCCAAAACTGACCGAAACCGGCAAATCCTTACCCTTTGAATGATTGGGACTGCCCACTGCTCCCCCAAATCTGGGCTCCCTTTGCCAACCAGAAATTGGCCCCAGCACCCACGCCTCACCGTTGAGGCCAGGACTTTGTGGACTTAGGTCGCCCTGGGCAGGGCGAAGAAAGGTCGAGGAAACACGCCCGGCATGTGCCCTCCAATTGAAGCCATGTGGCTCTCAAAGGGGGGGCGAGCTTGTGTATACACACATAAGTACCTCAAAACATGTTTTATGTTTATTCATGCTTTTTAGACAAATGTATATTAAGATACTCCTTAGGGCACCCTCCCAACAGGTGGGCAAAAGTCATGTGACTTTTGCCCACCAAAGCCAACCTGTACTTTCAGGATCCGCGCAGGCCTACCCTGGCAAACGGCCGAGCTGCCATTTTCCTTGGCGTCATGGCGAACAAGCGCAAGTTACGCAAGTCTTACCCGCAGCCTGGCAGCTATGTACACCCGCAAAACATCTACGGCAAATCGGTGAAACCTGCTGACATCCAAATCATGCTCAAGGCTTGAAGCCGATCAGGGATTTCTCCTGCGATCAAGGTGCATCCTGCATTTTGTCAAGGAACAGCCTGTACAGGGATGAAACAAGGTGCGTTTGGCAATGGCGTTGTTAAGTGATGGTAGTTGAGAACCTTCCCAATGAGAGGCAGGGTATCCGCAGCTAGCGTGGCAAGCTGAGATATCAGCCAACACGCGTAGGGTTTCTGTTGTTTGCTTTCTAAGCATCGCCGCGGGCAAAGGAAAACCATCGAAGGTGGGAAAACAAGACAACGCAAAAGAGCCGTCACAAGGCATACGCGAGAATGATTGGACCACCCTCAACATTGATTTCCGCCAAACATCGCCTGGCTTCCCTTTCCACACAAACTCAACCAGACGGTTGGTCTGATCCCATCCCCAAAATGAGTGATTTATCGCGGTTCCTTTTCTAAACCCAGGGAAACACACCGAAACAAACGCCATTGACTTCTGGAGTGGGCGTTTGTTCGTATCCCCTTTCAAAGGCGGCAGGTACCGACGGCACCGGGGTTCCCAGTCCTGCAGGGCCTTCAGCTCTCGCCGTAGGTCCTCTTCCTTGGCTTTCAGCTCCTCCGACTCCGATCGCTTCCATGCCCGGTACGTCTGATTCAGAGCCAGGGGGTGCAAAAACAGCCTAGTGACCTGGGCTGCTTTCAGATTTTTGCTAAAAGTTTGACTTTTTTAGTGGGTTAAGTGGAAGGAACCCCGGACTAAACCTTAAAAAGCTGAAAAGCTAAGGAACCGGATGGCTGGGAGGAAGCCACCAAGAGTGGCTATTGGCACCCGAGGGTTTAAGGGAGGACCGTTGGACATCCCATGGCTCTTGGGATGCTACCCAACGATGTGAAGAAATAACACGGGGGCCGCATTTTTTTCTGCTTGGGACTGCCGAATTTCGGACATGGCTGCCGGCTTCTCCTCGGTCTTGGGAAGAGCAGCACTGATCTCCTCTCTGATCTCCTCAGCGTATGCACTCATTAACGGGACACTGCAACTGAAAGACTGAAAATTCACAAAATGATCCTCTGAATGCTTCAAAGGGACCTTTTTTGGCCCAGAAGTAACTTGAGAACCCCTCTGGCCAGCCCGCTTTCAGCTCACCAGCTGAGTTGGGCCAGAAGAGGCTCGAAACTTTCTGGGCCACTAAAACGAAGACACCTGCCAATACAAAGCTCAAAGCTTGCCAACAAGGACCCAATTGAGGGTTCACAGTCGAGGCCTCTTTGCGCCCTCTTTTCAATCCTTGCACCGTGAGGTCTGCATCCCTTCGCTTGCCTCCAACTTCCACAGCTTCCTCGTGGCTGCCTTCTCGGCTGTACGGCGGCAAAGTAAGGCTCCCCAGCAAAACTTTCACCTGATGCAAACTCCTTCTCCCCCCCTGTTTTTGTTCTTTCTCTTTCTTCCTCCCGATCATTGTTCCTCACATGCAATAATCCCAAAACCTGAATCGAGGCATCACCATTTTGAGCCCTTGAAATTTCGTGTTACCAACTGGTTCCCCTCCAAAACCGTCGCAACGTCAGCTTCCCTCCAAGTGGTGGCTTGGATTGCTTCGGTGCAGTTCTGGCGTGGTTTCCCACTTCTCCGAATCCAAACCACCAAAAGGATGTTGTCCACTGAATTTGCGTGTTTGACCTTGGTTGCCCCCCCCCCAAAAAAAAAAAACAACAACAACAACAACAACACCAAAAACACACACAAAACAAAAAACGTCCAAAGGGGTCCATAGGTTGTCCGCCTTGCTGCGACCCAAAACCGCTGGGCGGCTCCCTCGGCTCGGCTCGGCTCCGAGGCGCGGCCACCTGCTTGGGGTGCTGCGCCCGCCTGCGCGCCAGCTGGGCCTCGAGGTCCCGCAGCCGGCCCTGGAGATCCTGTCCGAGTCGGAGTGCCGAAGAAAGAGAGGAACACCCCATTCTAAACAACCCCAAACCATGGACAATAGACAACCACAGGATGTGTTTTCTTGTTTTCCTTTATTATTATTATCATGCCAACTCATTCCCTGAGGTCCCAAAATGGGTTAAACCTGGCAAATGAGTAATGGAACCAAGGACTAAAACTTGCGGCTTTCTGGTGGCTTGGTAGTTTCTTTTTTCCTGGTGCCTAAAAGCCAAACAACCGCAGGATTTTAGTCTACTTGTCCATTTCTCAAAACTCCATTTTGGGCCGATTCCTATTCTTGAATGGCCTGAGGTTGAACATGCAAGCTAATTTTGGATTCTTCGTGGGAAAGGCACAAAGTGGCTCCCTGAGCTACGCTGGGAAAATGATAACAAAAAAGATGCTAGAGCCCCTAGAATGAATAGGGTTGCATGTGGCTTGGACAGCAAAAGGGATCACTGGTGGGACATTACCGGACTATCATAAGGGGGTTTCTCAAGTTTCTCGGGGGCTTGAGCAGATCTCTCTTGCCCAGAGGGCCCGGAAAGCAAAGCTGAACCTTGACTAAACGTGGAACATTGGAAAAGCACTTAAGCTTTGGGCAACTGAGAAACACACAATGTTTTTGTCAGCAGTTCCGCAGGAATTTATGTCGTCGGAATGAGGAAAACAAACCTCTGAAATGGGTGGTTGCCGGTTGGAATCCCCAGAAAAAGGACACCTTTCAAAAAAGCAACCACAGAAAGCATCTTGCCCAAATGAAGCTCTCTATGAATTCGCCCTAAACTGTGATATTTGAAGACAACTCAAAAAACAATTCGGCTTTCTTAGGTGTTAGGTCCCAACCTCTTTGAGGATCCCGGCCCTTGTGTTTGACCCCCCGCATGGTCTGGGAGGAATTGCTAGGTTCGAGACCAAAGCTGGGCTATTGAAAGGTCAGTGCCATGTCCAAGGTCGGATGGTGTACTTGACAAACCGAGTCTTCGGCCGCTTAAGGACGAGGTTTCCGGCGCGACGTGCTTTAGACACCACTTGGGTGTTTGGAGTGGATAGTGCGAGGCGTGAGGGTAATGGATCGCATGCGGGGAGTTGCGCGTTTGGTGTCCTTCAGCTTCCACGGTCGTGGCATTTGGGGTATGAAAGTCTCATGCTTGGGCCAATTTTCTGCATTGGTTTTGAATGGCCCGCTTGTCGTTGCTTTCATTAAGCCTCCAGTTCGGTCACTTGCAAAGTTCAACAGCCCCTGCTTCAGTGGCACCAGTTTCATAAGTTGTCGACCCCCGGTTTCCAGCAAAATACACCTGCATCACGGCCTCACCGTGGATTGACTTTAAACTGGCAGGCCGGCTCTGGCTGCTAGGCGTCCAGGGACGCAAGGTATGCAGGCGCACAATTTGAAACCGTGCAAGCCAACATAGCAATATTGCACCCCGTTCCCACCAATGGCATAGTTTTGGCACCCCGCAATCACTTATTCACCATGTCCTTCCAGAACTCCTAGCTCCTCAGCTCCCTCTTGAACAGCAAACTTGGATACCACCAGCTCCTTGGCTCCCTTCCAACCGCCAGCAAACTTGAGGTGCCAAGGCGCAGAGAGCTGGTTCTCCTTGTCCCCCAGGGCCTCCCTCTTCGCGGCAATAGCCTAAAAACTTCGGTTGGGCAATGAGCAAAATTAAAGAAGACTCAGTGCTTCCTCCCTCGTGTGCCCGGCATATAAAGCTCTCAGCAAAGCGTCGAGCTCATTCTGCTTTGCCGTGACAGTCAAAGCTTCCTCGGGGCATGCTTGGACAAAGCTTCAAGTGCGAGCAGGACTTGCCGCACGGAATCCTTGCACTGCCAGTTGTAGGTTGACCCACAGCGAACAACAGCAGGTTTACTGTCAATGGAAGCCACAAATATCAGGTCCATCATCATTATTCGCAAACAGCCCGTGGAAGAGTCTAGGGCGAGTCTAGGAAGAGTCTGGTAGAAGCGAAGCCTCATCTTTCTCGAAACATCCGAAGGTCAATTATTTGAGCCCCTGGGAGGTGTGCCATTCCTGCTCACGCCAGCCAAGCAAGCACTCACCACTCGGTAAGCCAGTTGCCACTTGTGACTCCCCAGCCACTCGGCGGGTTCTGCAACACTATCTTAGACTTAGATTGGATGCCGGGTAGGCTTGGGCCGCGAACTTCTTCGATATGCAAAAACATCTCCTCACACAAAGCCTCTTGTGGCTTTGGCTTCCCGGTTGAACTTCACCGTCCATCACCTTTTGGCGGCTATTCCTCGTCAAAATCATAGCCAAACTCAGGGGAGCCACCCTTGGTTGCTGTTGACCCCCCTGCAAAAGGTTTAACTTATTGGGGTTTTAGTGGAAAACACCCTTATTTCGCAAAAATAAGGTACAGTCTAAACTTGGGCCCCCAGCAAAACGTGTAAGCTTTTTTACATGTGAAAAGGACATATGAGGGGGTATCCAAAAAGTTTAAAGTCTAAAGATCCAAGCCAATAGCAGTCAAGCACCCCTGTCCTTCTGGTGGACATCATTTAGACGTATGTCCACCAGTGAGCCAAACTTAGGGAGGAAGCCACCCCCGGTCCTTGACGCTCTCCAAGTACTTCCTCCTCTCCAGCAGCGTGGCCTCCACCGCGGCCACCTTCTGCTCCGTCTGCCGCGCCGACTTCATGATCCTAGGGGGAGGGCCAGAAGTACGTGCCGAAAGACTAGGGGACTACAGGCACTGTCTAGGTACCTGTGCGCGTTTTTCCAGGAGGAGGGTGGTGTGAAGAATGGCTGCAACACCTGAGAGGTTGGACGAACAATGTCTTGAGGGTTCATAAGGTGCTGGTGACAGGTTGAATGGGGAGGATACATGCATGATTCTCCTTTGGAATCCATTTATGTCACACAAATGTATGGTTCAGGTCACCCAGATTTAAGCAACATTTGGTACCTCCTTCAAACCCAAGGGAAAAAAACACCGCTACAATTCCCCCCCCTGTTTTGACACACATCAAAACGCAACCAAAGCGTAGGGCAGCACCCAACGTGGCGCACGAGCCCACTGGCGGCCAAGGCGCCCCAGCCGCAGCTGCCGGAGCTCCTCCGCGGCGATGTTCTGGGCGCTCAGCCGCACGAAGACCTCCGCGGAGTCCTGTGACGCCCGCCGCGGACGTCCACGCCGCGGACGCTCGCCCGGCGAAGTTGGTTTTTGGGGTCCGGTGGGTTCAGGGAAGCATTTCTGGAAAGGAACGCCCGGGAGGTTTGTTGTTGGACTCTGGTACCTGGTTAGGGGAAGTGTTTTTCTTGCGTTCTTTTGGTTTCATCCCTGTTGGGAAAGGGACTTCCAGATTTTTTGTGTTTGTTGCTTGATCCTATTGGCTAAGGGAAGCTGTCACTGGACAGGATTGAATCTTGTTTTCCAGGGGACCAACAAGCAAATGGAGGTGTGCGTGCTTCAGGGAAACTAAGTCAACAACTCCCATTTCGTTTCTCTTTCTTTCCTTCGCTGATTTAGAGGTTTACCCATTGCGCCAGGATGTCCTTGCCAGTGCAGCACGCTGAGGCCTCTCTCTCTCTCTCTCTCTCTCCCCTTCTGCGCGATAATTATCCTGGTGCAGCAGCCGGGGCGTTGGGGATACCTTTTCTTTCTTTTCTTTTTTTGCGGGGAGGGGAGGGGGGATTTGGGACATCTTGTTCTGGGGGATTGGGGAGGGGGGAGTTCTGTTACTATGTAGAAATCTCGTCCTCGCGTCGTCCACCCGTCGTTTTCCTGACACGCCGGCCCCGTACCACACGTGGCTGTATGACTAGAAACCATTCAATACATGTCTACTGGACCTAGCTAATTTCTGCACTTGGTAGGCGGTTACTGCATTTGTTGCGATTTCACTCATCCTATGTGGCGCACGCAGCACTTTGTCCGATAAGGCACCCAGCATCGGCGGTTTCGCCACGCATCTTCAAAACCAGGATTCTTGGTACCCTTCTTACTCACCAGGGTGTGGCTCAAAATTAACCAGGAGGGGTTACGCAGGTTTTGGTCCATGTTTCCACTTACCAGGGTTCCATTTGGGTACCGGTTTTGAGCCACAGCCACCAGAGTAACTTCGTAACTCTTCAACTCAACATGTCCTCCGTACAACAAAAACAGATCGAAGGCCAGGATCTACCCTCCGACTTTTCAGGTCTTCACCTAAGCTGATATCAGTGGCACCGATTAACCAGCAAACCACTTGTTGTTGACCTCGCGAGGCCCTACATGCTAAGCAACATCTGACCAGGCGTCTTTCATCATTCTCCCCTTAAATGGACCTGATAACTTCCACGCAACCATCTGCAACCTGGAACCTGGGCTATCTACATGGCATCCACCTGTTTTTCAGCGGGGTTTTGTTTCTCCATGGCGGCGGGTGCTTGTCGCTTCGGAAGTCCTTGGCCGCCTGCAGCTTGTGCTCCTTCAGCGTCACCTCTTCGTGCTTCAGCCGCCGGATCTCCTGCCGCAAGGCCCTCGGCTCCTCAAAAGCGGCAGCGGGATGCGGCAGGGCGGGATGCGGCAGGCGGGAGCGAGCGCGACCCAGGGGGCAATCCGTGAGGTTTCGCGACTGGAGACGCCCCTCCCTAGACATCGAATTGGGGGGGTTGTGGTTGGGAGAAGCGAAGCCTTTTTGGATGGTTGCGAAATCCATCCAACGCCCCGCGAAATGAAACCATGGTTGAAAAGGTTTGTTGGAATGTACGTTGGGGAATCATCATTCCAGGGTTTCCTAGGACCACCGTTCAGAGACACAACGGAATGATTCGATTCCCCAAGCTAAATACCAAGAATGCTTATGGTTTCAACCATGGTTTCATTTCGCGATGCGTTGGATGGATTTCGCAACCACTCACAGCATTTCTACACAGTGCTCCGGACGGGATCCTCCAGGAAGTTGAACATACACACGATGACATGTCACTGGAACGGGTCCCAAGTACAATGCCGAAGCCTGCTTTTGGCAACCTCACAAGTGCCTCTGTGTGTGTCACAAATTAGGGTACCGAACGGGTTCAACATGGCAAAGGAAACCAACGGCATTTGGGACAGGTCTTAGCTTCAGGACATGTGCCATTTTAAACTCCCAACATGTGGATCAGGTCGTGGTTCCTGGAATTTCAATATCCCCCCCCCCTCCCGAACAGTGTTGACTTGCCTTATTTAGCATTGTCAGTTCCAAAGTTAGTATTGCACAGTATTGCCAATTCTAATTTTAGTTTTGCCAAGACTTACTTTCAAATTCCCAGTACCTAACTTAGTATCAAACGTCAAAGCAGTCAGATTGAAAATCATCAGGGGGCTTGTAGGTTACCCACCTTTGTGTCACTGTTTGGGCTTGCTTTTTGGTAAATAGTTTAATCGATATATACAAATGGATGGTTTGGGGATCACTTCAAAAACAGGATCTCTTAGATTGAAGGCCTTGAGCTGCGAAGGGCTTAGAGAAGCCACCTGAAAGTCAGAGGTTCTGGCTTTGATCTTGGAAACTTACGCTACGCCCACCAAACAAATTAAAGTTGTTTATTAAAGCGGTCCCCAAAACAGTCAGAGTGACAAGGATCAGCCCGTTTACGTGACAATTTAGTATTTTTTCTTAAAGGGAATTATAGCTACGTGTGTAGCTGCACCTCTTAAGAGCCGGTTGCCCCAGCGCGTGCCCCCTTGCGTGGTAGCCTTCACTGTAGCTATCCAGCTTGCGTGGCGTGGGACGATTGGTTTGGAAATCCTAAATCTGAAGCAGGCCAAAGTTTTGATCTGGTATTTTCGTTGTTTGGTTTTTTGCCTTGATATGCTGTACGGAATCACAACTTTCCATTATATAAACAGCCACAGGAGTCTGAATAATACAAGACTCTTCAAAGCACCACATTGGTGCTACTGGTACCTTAATCGCGAACGGTGCATCCTTTTCGCCGAATAAGGGTTTGTGCCAAAATGGGAGGATTGCCCAGCTCCACTGGGCAGCTCCCCTCAGCAGCTGATGGGAGTAGAATTGATGCCACTCCCACAGCGAGGGAGGAATCCTCCCACCTCACCGGATGCCCTCCCGGCATCATGGGTGAGGAAGGAAAGTAGCGAAGATCAGCTTGATCAATTCGCTTTCGACTGAGGGGAAGACCCGGTTCTCAGTCGGAAATTGCGGGTCCGGATGAGTAAGTTCATCCGCCCATGTGTTAAAGTCGCGCTTCACATGCGACGGTCCTAACATGACCTGGTGGTCATGCAGTGTTAACACAATTTCCATGAGGATGGCCGCATTGGGCATCCTGCGAGTGGAATCGTTGAGCAGGGAGAAAACGTTTCCCTGGTTATCACTAGCAACCAGAATCCTAGTGTGAGAAACCGAGCCGGCTGCACAAAGCAGAGCAGCCCTCACCAGAAGGAGGAGGCCGAAGAGCTCCAAGGCCGCTATCGCTCGCTGCGGGTCCCCAGTAGCGAAGGCCCACGGCTCGCCCTCCGGTGTGATTCTGTGTTGGAACCACTTCACGCGGGACTTGTCGGGGTTGGGCACGTCCGAGCACCAACCACCAACCCATGCATGGTCCGCCTGTTTGCCAGCTCCCGCATCGGATGCCCCCGTCCAGGGAAGTGTGGGAGCAAATGGAGATGCCAGTGGGAATCTCTGGTTGAAGAGCTTCCCCAGAAGGATGGCCAGAGCACGAACCAGCTTCGGTGGCCTGCCCGAAGTGGTGCAGGCCTTCTTCCAGCTCCAAAAGGGCTGGAGGAAAGGTTTCGTCAATGGACACGCCGAAGTAGCCCATTGAATCCGGCCCAGGGCTTGTTCCACCTCCTTGCTGGTAAAGATGTCCCCCTGGGCCAGCCGTTTGAGAGTGGCCAGGATTATGACGTGCTTGACTGGAGCCAGCAGCACACAGGGCGTGATTGGGTCCACCACGAATCCCAACCAGGTATTGACCGGGGAGAGCGCCGTCTTCTTCCAAGAAAGCGGGACTCCCAGCGCCAGAAGAGTGGCCAGGATGGCTGTGGCGTCCCAGTCCGCCCTGCTGCATCTGAGGACCCAGCAGTAGTCGTCCACAAAAACTAAGTGCCAGTCTACCTGAGGGAAGATGTAGTACAAGAGTCTGAGCACCAAGGATGCCTTTCTTCCCCAGTACAGTTGTGCCGAGGCCATGCCGTACGTGCCCACTCTATTGACCCACCACCGGTTCTGGATGCAGGCCACCTGGTATTTCCAGTCTTTCTGGAGCACTTTTATGCGCCTGTGGGCCTTGGTGACATCCGCCTTGAGGATGATGAAGGTTTCCCCCCGTGCCGGCGGCTGCCACGTCAGGGGTTCCCCCCTATCAGGGCCCTCGGCACCTGGGGGCAGGCTGGTGCTGTGGGGGTCCCTCTCAGGGCCCTCGGCACCTGGGAACTGCCCCTGCACCGGCTGGCGAACATCCCTAGGTTCCTCATCAGTGCCCGAGGATGGGGCTCGGAGTAGATGAGGATGGTCCGCCGCTGTCCTGAGCCAGTGGATGGCATGGAGGCAGTCTCCAACCATCGGTGCGGTGGTCTTCTCCTCCGTGTGAGCCTGGATGTGTGCGTTTGCTCCCCCTTTTGAGCCATCATAGATCGTCCTGATCTTGTCCGACTCATCAATCCCTGCAAGGGGGCCCGGGCAAAGTTCCTCCGGTTTGCAGCGGCACCTCTCTGCCGCCTCAGAGCGAGTGAAGGGCCCGTCCACCATGTCCAAGGCTCGTTCCTCGTAAAAGGTTGATTCGATTTCCTTGGCAAAGAGTTCAGCCGTTGGGTAGTTATCATGAGCCACTGGCGGGGGGGGATCTTCCCCCAGCCAGGCTTCTCCCTTAAGCTCCTCCTTAGTGGGCCAAACTCCCGGGGAGGTCAAGGTGGGGTCCGAGACTCCCAAGGGGACCCCCTCTTTCAGTGTTAGGGGGAATTCCCAATCAGGGTCACCTGAAAGGGATGCCAAGTGCGACACTAAGTCCAGGAGGAAGGGCTGTCCTGGGCATCGTTCATGGAGGTGCCTCGGTCCTAGGATAGCCCGCAGCTCCTCGAGGTCGCTGGAAGGGGTGTGTGGTGGCACCTGATGCCAGGGACATTCGGACCTTGTCAATCCAGGGACGGGTAAGGGTCATGATCAAGGCGCCCAAAGTAGCCAATGGGGAAATTCTCCGAAAAGGGGGGTTGAGCCTTTCTGGGGAAGGTTTTCCCCCCCCGTCTTTCAGGGGGCGTGAGCGGAAACCCAATTGGATGATCGCCACCCGGTCAGTGAGGTGTGGGACCCTGAAAGCGGGCAGGCATTCGGGGCGGTCCAGGACCTGGTCCCCCTGTCCCTCCTTCCCCAGTTGTTCCGCATCTCCGGCCATCGGGGGCATGGGAGATGGGAAGTCTGGGTTCATTGTTCCACGAGGGCTACCGGTGTCTGCCTCAGGGTGGAACTGCCCGTGCAGGCGGGGCTTCGGGGCGTTCTTGCCTCCGGGCTTTGAGCCCTGGTGTGATGAGGAGGGACCGCCTCCTTGACTGGGCCCCCGTTTTTTCTTCGGGGGGAATGGCCTTCCGGGGGGTCCGACCCCCGCCCCTTAGGTGGTCCCTTGGGGTTTCCCGGAAATTGTGAGGGGATCCGGATGTGCCCCGGCGCTGCGAGTGACACAGCGATGGCTTTGGCCAGGCCTGCCATCATATCCCAAGGGTATCTGCTAAGAGTCGAGGACTCGTTGGTGCCCACATGTGACTGATGCGTGCACCGCATTTGATCCCAGTCCTGGATCGGGAGATCCGTGGCCAGCGTAGTGGCCTTCTTGACCAGCTGGCCCAGGCGGCACTGGTCGAAGGAGATTGCTGTCAAGGAGTTCTCCTCCATCCAAAGCTGCCCCTCCTCTGTGATCCAGAAGGATGAGCATTCCTTGGCTTTGGGCAGCGAGCTGCTCACCACTGGGTCCTCCGGGTGTTCCAGGAAGGACCTGGGCCCTGGCAGAGAAACCGCCGCTCGTGAGGCCCTTGCCAGGCTGGTGATGTACATCTGTCTCAGAATGAGGATGCTGTCATCATCAAGTTGAGTCTGGGCGGCCTGGTCCAGGTGTGGAAGGCCCCAGAGTGTCTCTGGAGTGCGCCCTCGTACCGGGGTGGGAGCCCCCGGTTTTGGTATGTGGCGCAGGATGGACCATGTCCTGCAGTTGGGTCCTCCTCCAATGAAGACCACTCGGCCCTGCTTTGCTGCCGTGCAAAGAGCTCCATACAGCTCGGGTTGGAGCATATCGTGGTCCCCCTTGGGTCCAGACCGTAGGATGTCTACCGCCACCACCATGCTGGAAAGGTGTGGGTAGTTGGCATGAAGACAGCTGTCCAAGGAAGTAGGGTCCTCCTTGCCTGCATAGAGCAGGACAATGATGGGCCCACTGGATGGAACTTTGGGCGATGTGCCCTGTGTCCATCTCAACCGCTGTACCAGACGCTCAGGGATGTTCTCCATCCACGGGAAGATGTCCAATCCCGGTGACGGCTCCGTTGGACTTGTCA